AGAGAGAGAGAGAGAGAGAGAGAGAGAGAGAGAGAGAGAGAGAGAGAGAGAGAGAGAGAGAGAGAGAGAGAGAGAGAGAGAGGGGGGGGGGCTCGTTCGACACTCCTTGGGCTGTCCTCGGAGCCCGAGGAAATTTTCCCCTCGTCGCCCGAGGAAATTCGTGCCGTCATTCCACTCATCCTCGGAGTTGTTCCCCGAGGACGATTCCTCGGGGCCTTCCGCGGCCAGTTTCATATATCGATGAGCGGTCGCGGGGGGGGAGGGGCGGTTGGTCCATGAAGGTGTGTCCGTGCGGACGTCGTTGGTCCACCTCGGGCGGTCGTCGCGAAATTGAAAGTTGGCGGCGGGAAAAAAAAATGGCACGAAAAAGGCGCGCAGTTCCGCAAAGCGACTGGCGGCGGCGTGGGCGTCCGCACGGCTGACGACAGCAATGTTCCTCGGCGGAATCGTTTCGGCACGGCGTGGCGGCTGCGTGTCGGTGGGCACGCCGAACGTACATGTGCACGTCCGAAGCAGCAGACACACCGTCACACGATCGCCGTTGCCGCCACTCTCACAGGTACACCTTCGTCGTCGACGTGTACGCTCTGCACGAGTACTCTTTTGCAGCAGCGCTGTTGAGCGCCGGAAACACGTGGAGTCTTCTGCACTAGGCGACGGCCATGTCGACAGTAGCAGTTCCGGCGATGGACACGAACGGGGGGGCGGGACGTGACACACTGAGCAAGGAGGAGAGGACGGCGGTGGCAGCGGCCGTGAACGCCATCCTCTTCCGGTGTCAATTGCATAGGGTCGAGGGAAGGATGAGAGCGACCATTTGCGCACGGCGGAAGAGCACGCTGCAGTCCACGAATGTGGAGGGAGAGGACAGTGCTGCCATTTGCGACGCCGTGCTGCAGGTGTGCTACGCCATGGGGTGTGGAGCGTTCCCCAGAGCGACGCCGAGGTGGTGGATGAAGCGACGAACAGGCGGGACGTGGGAGGATCTGCGGCAATGCGACGACGCGACGGCGGACTACTTCAAGGAGAAGCTGCGCGCCACGTGTGGTCCGAGAGATCACGGAAGCTTTGTCTCCGTTCCTTGAACGGCGTGTCACTTTCTATAGGGAGCCCCTCCAGCCTGAACACATTGTCGCGTACGCTTTGTACAGGTGGGCGTCGAGGAAGACGTACGGGAGCGGGACATGCAGCTTCGGCATTGGCAGATCTTCCGGGTTGGTGGCTGTGCGGGATGTAACTGCGGCGTTGCTGAGTGCGTACCCCGACAAGATATCCTCGCCGACGGGTCTGCAGAAGGCGGTCATCTTGCGCGCTTTCGCTGACAAGGGTTTCCCTAACTGCCATGGGTGCACCTACTGCACCCACATCTTCATCGACAAGCCAGCGAATTGCCCCGAGGACTACTACGATAGAAAACGCCGTTTCTATGTCCAGGCGCAGGTCGTCGTGGACTTGAACTTGCGCGTGCTGGATGTCTTCGTCAGTTATCCGGGAAGTTGCCACGACGTGAGGATCGTCCACCTGTCCCATTTATGGGCACGCGCGGAGGGAGGGGAACTTTTTATTTGGCCACCTGTCATGTTGCCTTTCGGTGTGCGGACGAACGACTATCTGTTGGGGGACAACGGTTATCTGCCCTCCGAATGGGTAGTCGTCCCCTACGACAGTCTCTCATAAACCCCGTCGGAGTTGCGCTTCGACAACAAGCAGAAGACGGCGAGGGGAGCAGTTGAGAGGGCTTTCGACAAACTGAAGGGGATGTGGAGGTTGTTCCTTCGCTCCCACAAGACGAACATGGAGACGTTGCCGCAGCAGTTCGTCGCCGTCTGCATTCTGCACAACATACTCATCTATGCGGGCATCCCCTTCGACGACAATCTATTGTGGGAGGTCGGGCCAGACGGTGTACGTCGCAGGGTGGATCTTGGGATGGAGTTTCCCTTGAGGCCGATGTGTATGGAGTCGTCGACATGGGATGCGCTCATTCTACGAGACACACTGGCGGAGCGATTGGGTGCGCAGTGAGCACGGCCAGGCGTGCGGAGCGGGCGGCTGCGATGACGTGGCTGTGGCGGGAAATCATAGCGGACGACGCGGGGAGCAGGCGAGAGCTCGGGCCACACGACGCGGGAGGCGTCTTGCCCTGGAAGGGGTGGTCGTGTGAGTTGGGGTGGCCGTGTGTGCGGGGCTTTTTTCTGGAATGACGAGTTGAAGTGGCGGTGGCTGTATCGATGTGGGTTGCCGTGCACACAGGGGCGTGTGTCGGCAGTTTGTTTCCGTTTTGTTTTGTAGTGTGCGCCGTTGAGGAGGGTGTCGGCGCGTGGGGTTGATGGGGATGCCGCAGTGGAACGTGTAGTCAGCGGGGGCGACGTCGTGCGCGTGCACGTGCCGATCGCAGTTGTCGTGTGGTGTGACCTCACCGAGGGTGACATTTGTGGGTTACGTAGTCGCGCCTTCGCCGTGTGTGTTCTGTTTTCCGGAGTTTTGGATTGGATTTGCCTTGAAGGCCTTTTTTTTCGTGCAAAGTGTGTTGTCATCCAGTGATTGTTTTTCTTTTTACGAGACACAAGAATGTGGTTTCTTACTTGACGTGTATATTATGAATGTTGTTCTTAACGTCTTCTTCTTTGTCGATGAATGAAAAGTACACAATTGCACGACGTTGTTGTGTGTTATTTGTACTGCCACCTTTGCTTCCAACATGTGCAATGCCGTGTTTGAACATCCATCACTTTGTCCTCAACCATCAGACTGAGTTGAAGCAAGCAACCCGGATCCCGTTACGTCCCCCTTACCATGACTTTACTGAAGGCAAATGAGAGCGGAACAAAACACGAATCGACAACAAGATGTAACGTCAACAATATCAATCAACACAAATACATGTTTGCTTCCACAGTTGCGAACATCGATTCGCCATGTTTGAAATAAAGAAAGACGATTTAAAGAACAGGAAAGGTTGACGCAAAACCACAACGACAACCGATCCACGACGGTGATTATCACCATTAAGGAAACGTCGACCAGCATGACCACCGGCATCGTCCCCACCCCCAGCCCCCTCTCTAACGTACAGCCTCAACATATCTGACACAAAACCCAACGAAGCCCCCCCCCCCCCCGGCGCACTCCTCTCCCACCAAGCTCCACGATATATGTGCACTCCGGCACGACGATTGACGAGCCGTCTTCGACCAAATGACGGCAGAGCAGCACCGCACGAGAGAAAACAATAAGCGTGACACATCAGTTGGATGCACGACGCCCCCGAGACCACCCCCGGCCACCCCCCCCCTTCCGCGCGTCCCCCATTCCACGTCACCGTCTCTACGGGAAATGCGAGAAACACACTATCCCACCCTGCGATGGCGACGTCGAGGAAGACACTGCACTGCGAACGTTTCATCACCCCCCCTCGCCCCCTTCGTCGTCGCCTTTGTCGTCGTCTTCGTCTTCCGGGGGCCTGTGCCCAACCAATCGAGCTTCTTTGCCTCCATGGGGGAAGACAATGTGGCGTCATGTGAGAACTTCACGCCGATCGATGCCCAGTCGGTGATGTACAATGATGGAGGCGCTGCCAATGTCATGGGGAGTTTCGCGAACTTGTTCGTGATGGCGGTCGCGGCTTGCACGATGTGCCGACGCACGTCGAATGAGCAATGCATGGACGCGATGAGCGTGGTTTTGCCGTCAGTTGGACGAATACCCACGCGTCGTAATGGGAGCGATGATCGTCCCCGATCATCCGCATGAGCCACATGGTCGTCGCGAGCATGATCCTCATCGTTTCGGCAACGCTCTTCTGATACGCCACCAACTCGTCATTCTCGTGCCTGTCTTCGATGTTCGGGCCAGCGAACAACAGTGGCAGCTTCATATCCATGTCCAGCGTGATGTGGAACACCATGGGGCTCACACACACACACCAGTCCTCCCCCATCCAGATGGCGCAAGCGATGTTAGTGGTCGCGTGGTTCAACGCGTACCTGTACGCTGAGTGGTACCCCCGTTGCCTGCTCGTCGACTTGAAGACCCACCCGTGGATGACCCGCAAAGCGATAGTCTGCACCTTCATTGCCCTCTCCTGTGCAGCGTTCAACTCCGATTCGTCGTTGATTTTGTGTTGCGGGATGGTTGTATGAGGCAAGGCGATGCTTCGACGCAATGCTGGAGGCTGCACTCCCCTCGCCACCGCAACAAGATACACGCGCGCTTCCTGCATCAACTTCACAATGGCGTTCCCTTCCGTTTCATTCCAGAAGCGGATGTCGTTCACCCACAGCTTCGACGACGCCTCGATTCCATCCCGTGCATTCCGTTAACGCACCCTGTTCACCAGCGCTTCGTCGTCCTCCCCCTGTGCTGCGACATCCCCTGCCCTCCGCCGCGGCCCCGCCTGCCCTTGCCCCTTCCGCTGCGTGAGGAGCCCCACCCGCTGCGGCCCCGCCCGCCCTCCCTCGCCCCTTCCCCCGTGTGCGCAGCCCCCCCCGATGCAGCCCCGCGCTGCTCCTGCGCAGGAGAGCGGCTCTTGGTCCCCTGACCGATGGCTTGCACGTTGACGCCAACGTCTGTAGAGGTCGTCGCCCGCGGGGTTGCTGGTGCTCGCGTGCGGACGACAACCTCTTGCACTTCCGGGGCTTCGTTCGCACGTGCCACTGCCGCGGGATGTTGCTGGCCAACGGCTGTTCCCTCGCCTCGCGCGGATGCCGCCGCGGCATTGACTTCGATGACGTCGTCCATCATAGCGCGCCCTCCTCCGCCTCGTCTCTTGTCAACATCATCGATCCGGAGGGCTCCACTTCCCCTCCTCGCAGACTTCCGCTTCAACGACACTTCCTCCTCTTCCTCGAAGTCGCTTTCGACCTGCGACGCCACCCACTCGTCATCCTCGACATACTTCGGAAGCGGGGAGGCGCCTTCAATGAGTTTCCTTTGTTTGTTGGCGACGTGGCGGCCCTTTCTCTTCCGGATAGTTGCTTCAACTGCCAGTTTCGCTGCGGACTTGGCGCGTCCAGAACCGCGGGACGACATGACGCACGACACACCAACTTCAAGGTAGACCAGCCGCCAACTGAAGATCTCTGCGTCGACGGTGAAAAGTGTCCTGCAACAGATTGTGATGGTCGTCCCCGCTGCGATGACGGGTGTGGCGATGATGTCGTCGCTGTCGTTGACGGCCCGGAAGACGTTCTGGACGATGGCCCGTATCGGCGACAAACAGGACGACGGTGACGACGCGATAGACTGCGAACGTGGCGATGGTGGCGACGACAGCGTTGGCGAGGAAGAAACAGAGGTGCGTACTCCACGGTCGAACAACGCGGCGATGAAGTTCACATGGCCCAAGACGGATGCGGCGGCGACGTGGCGACATGGCAACGCGACGGGCGCGATCGCGGTGACGACGGGTAAGATGGCGACAAGTGCGATCGCGGAGACGACAGGCAAGATGGCGACGGGCGCGAGGATGGTGAGAAAGGCGATGAAGGCGGCGAGGATGGCGAGAAAGGCGATGAAGGCGACGAGAAAGGCGATGAAGGCGACGAACGTGAGGATGGTGAGAAAGGCAATGAAGGCGGCGAGAATGGCGAGAAAGGCGATGAAAGCGGCAACAAAGGCGATGAAGGCGACGAACGCGAGGATGGCGAGAACCGACGTCGAGTGTCCTTCGTGGTGCGTGATGTCACAACAATCCCGCCGGAATGCGCGGATCATCGACGACGGCGGAGTGCGGCGTGCGTCTGCCTTCGTGCCGTGGAAAAAAACAAGCGGGGAGTGGAGGCAGGAGGAGGCGAAGGCGAGACAACTAGAAGGTCGACGTGTGTGCCTTGCTGCGCGCGTTTGGAGCCCGATCGTTCATTTCGCAAGGACCGTGACGGCCGCATCCTTATAAACACACACTCCTGCGTCGTGGACGGCGATGAGCGAGCAGTACCCGAAACTGTTAAACGATAAGTCCATCGCCCTCCCGTGGAGACGATGGTGTCGCGGGCCTCATCAAGGACAGCGATACAAAAGGCCAAAGGTCGCGGGGTAGACTGGCGCTGGCCAGTGACCCCGCCACCCGTCTTCTCGCCACCCTTCGTCCATTTCGACGGCGAAGGACCCTCCGCTTCGGAAGGCGACCGACATAACAGTCGCCATCCACGTCCCCCGCCAAAAAAAAAAGCGCGCATCACAAAAGTCCCCCAGCACGAAACTCACCTCCTCCCCCCCTCAGCACCTCACCACCACCCCCAACAACCATAGCTGTCTCTTATACACATCTAGATGTGTATAAGAGACAGGCTCTAAGTGCCGTGGGCCTCTGGCTCTGCTACTTGAGTGTTTTTCCTGCCTCAACCCTTGATATCACGGCCACATGTGAGTACC